AGATACAAAGTCAAGATTTGAAATCATAGAAAATTATACTTCCTGACAGTGGAACTGAATGAAATAAACATTTTCTTTGGCATACAAACAATCACTTGCTATGCAAGACAAGTACTTTTCACATCTGACATTTTAGGAATTGTCAGGGGACTTACTGGTACTCTTCACAGAAGGCTATGCAAAACACATCAAAATGCATCATCCAAATACTGGAGAAGGTAAGGTATCTTAACACATTCCTGCAGCTCATTTCTATTGTCACACCAGTCTTCTGCTTGTCCACAAGCTGTTCTTGCAAGCACTACACACTCAAAAAAACTAAGGTCTAGCAAATGTAACCTCTAGTCTGACTATTCTTTCAGCACATTGTTTCAAAACTGAAGCTAAACCAGCACTTCCCTGTGTGTGTCAAAAAATGGGAAAAGATTTCATGCATCGTTCAACAGATATCAAAAGCTGCTATTTATCATACAAATGACAATCAACATCATGATAAAGTGGAAAAGAATTAAAGACATGGGGCTTGCTCTACTTATTTCAAATGTTCCATCTATAAATCTGTAGATTTGTTTCATCGCTTCACATAAAATCATCATGAAAAATATCGACACGCCAAAGTGCAGATGAGGCATTTAACTGTGTTCTTTCCTTTTCATGTGACACTTCCAGTACTGTTTTGTCTCAGTAATTAAACCAGAAGCTCCTTTGGTTTCTTAAACTATGGAAACAATTTCAGCATAACGTACTCTATACAAAGGGAAATTGCAGGCCACTCATTCTTAAGACACATCCTTAAGTGTTTACTCAGTAGAAGAAAAGCAGTTCAGCCCAGAAAAGGAATATGCATGCAACTGAACTACAGAATTAAATACTTCTATTCCTTGTCTTCCCTTATTTTTCTTTATACTAAACAAAATAGAAAACATGCAGACTAACATAATTAAATACCATATAAAATATAGCCCCCCTAATTACATCCAAGCATGAAAATACTACACAGAATGTCCACTTATATCTCATACTTTTTCCTCAGGATGACAGAGAAAAATATGAATATTGTCAAGTCATAATTTAGACATTGAAATGTGTGATCTGAGTCTCAATTCACATACACTTTAGTCCCTTCCCATCCAAGAATGCCTGTTTCAAACTGTTTAGAAGTCAGTAAGGAAGGAGACCATCAAGATAAGTGAGAGATACATAAATAGAAGGAAAATGATTTCTAATAAATAAGAAGTGATTTGCTGCAAGTATTTAAGATTTTATTTCAAGTTAACACAGATACCTATCCCTTTTAAAAAGAATATGAAAATTAACCACAATATTGTTTACGTTTTTAACACTCTCTGATTGAATAGGAAGAAAAAATTATGGTACATCATTTCTAGGGCTTCCAGTGAAAACATGCAATTCCTTTTACACTATCATGCTTATGGGTCTAGCAACCTTACTGAGAAAATTCCTTAGAATACCATAGTCCTACATACTAAACACTTTCAAATAATAGATGCTTACTGAGTCCATCTTTTTATGTTGCCTCTTCTGGTTCAGGCTTATTAAAGTTACTCAATCTCTATGTCTTCTCTGTGTTCAGAAGAAAAACCTACTTAGATGTTTGAACAAACTATTTCTACCCCGGCACTGGAAAACAGGGAAAGCTAAAAGGCACTCTAGTCCACATACTGAAGTATGGAATAGAACATTGTTGCCACATGCCTCTCCTTGCTGCATCCAGCCCAGACAGTTGCTTAGCTAAAACATTTCAGCGATGAAACCATGAACTTGGTGCCCCTGAATATCCCAGCGGAATGCCTGGTTTCCTTTCTGAACTGTTGATATGAGAGTGTATTTTCTTGAAATAAATAAATAAATAAATAAAAGGAAAAAGCAGAAAAAAATTGAAAAAAGCAGCCTTAGAGATTGCTCCCCAGGAAGCATACATTACCGTGATCATCCACTTCTTTGAGGGAACTAGTCCTTTCAACACATTCCAGGAAATGGGAAGAGGACCCATGAGCTTCAGACCTAGGGGACATTTGAGATCTGATGCTCAAAAGACAAGTGACATTAATGGACTAAGAAAAGGGTAGATGAAGAAATACATGGCATCTACATTATCTGATAACACCAGCTCCTCTCTCAAGTGTTTGCTTCAAAAGCATGGATAGTGATAGTGATTAATACAGACGAAAACTTCACTGAGATACAGTTCAGTATAGTGTGTCTAAGAGTACATTGAAGTTTGAGCAGAAGAAACTAAACTAGGAAATAGACCACAACCTTCTTACTTTAGGATCGGTGGGGAAGGCATCTGTCAGAAGAGCCAGAATAGAAAATGGGTCAGAATTTCATTTCGGAGAAATGTTTGCAATTTTAGTACAGACTTAAGGAGCTAGATCCAGTAGAAGAGTACAGTGGAAAAGATAGTAGACTGACCTGAAATAAGATAAACAGTAGAAGACAATTTGTGTTGGTGGGCTGATGGTTCCCTCCAGCAGATGATGATGTTACCTATAAGCTAGTCAAGTATGCTGCAAAACCTCACATGTAACAATTGAAGATGAAATGCAGAAATTTGTCTAGGAGGAAAGAAACAGAATCATAGAACTAGGCCTTACACATCCTCCCCTATCCTGGAAGATACAGTCTTGCACAGTGACAGTATCAGCACCACGGTAACTTTCTAGACAGACTTTCAACATGCATCTCCATCACAGGCACAACACCCTGATAAAATACAGCTTCAAAATCAGAAACTTAAATAAACTCTGGTAGATTAAAGACAAACAGAGAAAAACAGCCCTACCGCCTTCTCAAAGAGACACTTCTGGAAGAAAGGTGTATGGGAATTTAGGGAGAAAATTGGATCAGGAGAAAGCATGAGAAAGGAGTTATTAACATGAGATAATCTTAATTTTGTGGAACTGAAAATAAAACAGCAGAACATGACCTTAAAAGTTTGAAAATTAAATACTGCTTGTAAGGCAGGAGTATTAGAAGGGAACAAAATACAAAACAAAAAAAACCAACAAAAATACCCCCCAAACAAAACAAAAAGCAGCTATGTTTGTGTATAGAACATAGTTGCACTGTGTGATTACTGCTAGGCCAAAAAAAATCTTTACAGGTATGTAGATACTCATAACTCTCCAGTTATGAGGTAAATAAGCATGGTGTACAATCCTTTAACAAAGAGTATTCATCAACTTGGCATATAGTCATTAGCAATCATTTCAGCAATCTTGTTTGCACAGAACAAAATAATTTGAATGAGAATGGATGTTAAACACCAAAGCATGCATTTAATAGATATATATTCAAAAGAAGTAAAAACATACTACACTTTTCTCAGATCTCTTCCAACAAAGACTTATGAGTGAACAGAATTCGCCAGTATAAATCCTATTTTATTAAACCTGGTAGTTCTACCATAAGCACTCATAATTTTCTACTTGATTAAGCTTCAAAATCCCAGTTTTGCATTAAAATCAAGACGATAAACCTTGATTGAAATAAATAAGGAATTACTTGGAAGTTTGTGAACAAAATGTAAATATTTTCTGGGATCCCAAAGAGGGTGTTAAATTGAATTAAACATACATATGAAGTGAACTGGGCACTGTCTTATAAGTACTCTCCTGTCCTATGACGAAGAATAGGTAGTACCTTGCATTGTTGTGTTTCCCCAGGTAAATCTGAACCTCTTAAACATGCTTTTCACATTTCTGTCACAAACTTTTGGCTTGCAATTCAAATGTAATAGAACGTGGGAGCAATAGTTTTGCTCAGTCTGTAAGCACACCCTCAAAACATCATCCTATAATGCTTCCATATTTTAGGAGATTCACTCCTTTCAACATTCAGAAAATTATATCAAGTCAGTAAACACTATGCTCATTTCAGAAACGCAAAATATTTTCTTAAAATCCATTCTTATTTGCTTTTTGGGCAGAGCTTTATGGTAAGCATTAAATAACTGTAGTTTTCATTCAAGGGTTGATTTCTCCAAACTATTACATCCTTCCTTCATCCTGTTTATACAGATGCTTATATATTTAATATATGTTTGCACTAAGTGTTAATTGATATGGTCAGAACAGTGAAATGGTCATAAAATGCACTGCTGGAAATGGTGTGGACTTTTGATGTATTTAGGGCTAATATACCCCAAGAAAATTAAATAAACTATAATCCTTTGTATTTTTAGTAGAACTGTTGTTAACAGTATAAAAGGTAACTGTTTATACTGTTGATTGCAGTGAGTGTACACAACAGGATGCTACTAGCAAATTAGCTTTTTTAAAATTTATATACTATTGTTCTTTATTATTTTGATTCAATAGCTGTACTTAACTGAAACCAAGATATATTCAGTAACAAACCAGGTTTACACTGTTCAGAGATTCATCAGTAATTGATGCAATTCCAAATACTTGCTAAACAGTGTGCTTTGACTCAAATTATGTTAAATGAGGCAATATAGAGCTATTCATGTATATATTTCTGAATATTATGTAATTCCTCATAGTTTTTTTATTTTTATATAAAATTTCTACGATATAACAATAGGACTGGGCAACAGATGTTTGTGTCTAACACCTATGAATCATCCAAAAATTTGGAGCAAACATTTTTCAAATCCCAATAAATCAAATCCTGCATTTAACTATGTAAATTAAAAAATAATTGCATATTTTCTCCAAGACTACATAAAATGGCAGCTGTTAAAGGAGTAAGCACTGCTCTGAGCCTTTTTCTCGGTGTTATGTTCTTCTTGAATCTGTTTTTAAGGAGGTTTAAATGTTCAGAAACACCTTTGATCCCAGCAGATGAAGAGTCATTATTTATTTTGCATTTTTAAATATTTGTGTTTACTGTTATGCTGGGGCACAAGGTGAAAGATTATTTTCTTTGGTGATCATATATGTTAATACATTTTCAAATAGAAAAGAGTTGAAACTAAAAGAAAATCGCCGATTTTTTTATGCGCACATCCATACCTGAGTATTAAGAAGTTCTTCACATTTGTGGGAATGTTTTTCAATTGCTAGAATATACTGTTTTTCAAGAGCTGCTTCTTGCTGTTGAACTGTAGATTGTAGCAGTGCCTGTAATAAGCAAGCATAAAATACTCAACAAAGATATGACTGGGATGTTTATTGGTAACTGCAGATCTACTAATACTTTTGTATAACCAGAATGTGGAATGCTGGTATAAAATTGGAATGTGCAACTATTAAAGTACCTTTCTATGTAACACTACCTTGTTTTCAGTCAGGATTAAAATTTTTTGGATCTCAGATTTCTTACACACAGTCTGCTTAAAAGAGAGCAGCACACAGAAGATAGAGAGGGAGAGTATTTCTGTTAAATATACTCAGTTTAGTTGGACCACACAAGAAGAGAAGTGTATGAAAGCTGCTGAAGGGAAAAAAAAAAGTCAGACATATTTCCCTGGCTGACAAAACTCCACATCCTCTCGGCACAGTGTAAGATCCCATGGGCCAAGCATGATCTTCACAACCACAAGTCAAGTAAAAGCAGATGGAAATTTTGAGTAATTTAAAACATAAAAGAATGCTCCCCCAGGAAGTTCACACTTAAATATGAAGCAGTGGAAGTCAAAGTGTGGAAAGTCAAAGTACCGAGACAGTAACAAAAAGATGAAAAGATGATAAAATTAGCAACTCCCTGTGTGAGCACATGTGCATGCACATGTGTGTGCATTCACATGCACTTGACTGAACTCTGAAGAATTTCCAGCATCTGGAGGCAAAACGAGAAACAAAAAAAAATTCAAGATATGTGAAAAAATAAATTACTGTTTGAGAAATTACACTCAGGCTTCCTTAAACAATGATGGTATTTTAATGCAGGATTTACTTAACTTATGACATGCAAGTCTTTTTTCTTAATATTATAAAATATTTATGTCACTTTCCAAATATTCATTGAGCTATTCATACACAATGTAGCAAACTATTTTTAACTAGTAATCAAAATAGTGGAGTAGTTGAAATTATTATGTAAGTTAAAACAGACACGTTTTATGAAAAACAGACCTTTGGTCCAAATAAAAACAAAGAAAAAAATCCATCTTTCAAACAATCTTTATTTTAGAGATACATTTACTTTATTGAACATAACACGCACATTTAATAAATGTTGAATACTTAAAAAAGCCCACCAAACTTAAAACACCAAAGAAAGCAAACAAAAAGTGTTTTATTTTTTTTTAAATCTTCTGACAATTTTTGAACTACATTTCCAAATTTTCCACAAACTAGCTTCTTAAGCCAAATTCAGTGTTCTTCAGTAATAGCCAAATTCAGTGTTCTTCAGTATAGCGTATGGTAGTGGTTTTTAGCACACGTTCAGAGATTTAAAAAGTAAAAGATGATGCTTAACACGTTTTAATCAAAGAGTAAAAATACATTTAGTGGTGCTTGCAGGGAATATAGCTTGCCATAGGTATATTTTCGAAAAAACCAATTTCTTCTCAACTACGTTTAGTTCTTTTATTGATATAAATTCAGGATATAAAAGAAAACAAAAACTCTCAGAGAAGTATAACTTCTGTATGTGAAACTTCATATGTAAATCCTATTGTGTATAAATTAGAATTGCCAAACATCATTGTCAAAAATTATGTCTGAGCTATGGCAGGTTTTTCTGCTTAAACTATTGTAACAATATATTTTTCATATAACTGGCAAAAAAAAAAAATCATCTAATTCTGATCATAGGGAAAACAGCAACAGAATGGTCATTGAGTTGCAATGCTTTTTCTCAGATAGCTTCTTGTTATTGAAAATTATATTTAATAAATCACCTGAGGTAAGACAATTTAAAAAGTAAAATAGGAACCAAACTTGACAATTTCCTTTTATTTCATATCTAACATGCAGTTGTTGCCTATAACATTACTACATTCACTGTGGGTATCCTACATATGCCTGGCTCCAGCTGACAATAAAAATCAAATATGAACATAAAGATGTCATAAAACAATGTCTTTACAAGATTGTTAAAAAAAAAAAGATAGAAAAAAACCCATGAAGTTAAATAATGAGGTCACTTTCTTTGATCACAACTACCATTTAAGGTTTGTTGATGGGGTTAATACACCAGAGATGGATAATATTCATTCAAATTCTTTGCAAATTTTAAAATAACCAACTATTTAAATTACTAATTAAACCCCTAATTTACTAATTAACTAAGTTACTAAACTAAAACATAGCTGCTTGATGATAGGCATCTCTAACTTCTAGTTACATACTTCCTTCAGTACAGTGACACTAAAAGTCTTTTGACTAATTGCTACTCTGGGCAACTACTTATCACTGCTGAAACACCACTTTCTTCCTTAATTAATTACACAATTATCCTGGTGGGCTGATGTTCCATAAATCTGTGGCCACTGACCTAATATCAAGGTGGCATTTTTGAAGCAGTCTTCTTTTAATAGCTCACTGAATCATTTCAAGTAAGTTTATAGCAGAATGTAGTCTATGGCATCTGCTGCATGAAGTTCATGGGGTAGGATTTCAATATGGGTGCTACTGGTAATTAATTTCTTCTTTCATATAGTGTGCAATGAAGTTCCTTGAAACAGGCTGGCAAGGCTCACCCTGTACCCAACAGCCAGTTTCAGGACTGTGATGTCAAGAGGCATCAGTCTTGTAGATCTGTTTCTACACCCCGTCATATTTGTTGCCTGAGACTACACTTTGTTATTGTCCACAGGAAGTGGTGCGTTCAGATTTTCAGAATTTCTTTACATTTATCAACTAGTCCTTATTGCTGCATGGCTTTTTCTCCCATCCTTTTTTTTTGTTTTTTAATTCTTCCTCTCCTTCCTCAGTACAACACACTTCACAAACCCAAACTATATCTGCCTTTAACCAAAAGTGAGGTTGCCTTTTAGGTTTTCAGTAGAGCCAAATAAACAGTCCACTTTTCAGGCAGTTACTAGATCTTCTTTTCCCATTTGTAATTTCCTCAGCTTTCAAAACTCTGCCTCCCAGCTTCTTATGTAAGTCATTGTATGAAGGAACAGTTTAAAGAACTGTGGCACTTTAGATAAACTACTTAAAGCAGTTTGCTTAAAATACAAGTACAAAGCCATGCACGAATATAAGAACAAACTGCAGCCACAATAGCAGCTGTGTAACCATAGTTATGATCACAAGCACATCATCAATTGAACTGATGCCCTTCCGCTAATAAAAAACCTCCAGGATTTGCAAAGTTCATGTACTAAATAATCAAAGTATATTTAGGTATAACAAATAACAATAGTAACATCCTTCCTCCTATTCCTGAAAAGAAAACAGAAAGTATCACCACAGCTCCAAGTGATAAGAAAAACATAGATATATACATGGTCTTTTAACATTTCCTTCTACCTCACATCTCATATTCCATTACTAAACTGGTTAAAATCCCATTAACTGAGAAAACCAAGAATTAATGTCTACACTGACATTATTTTACTATATTTGGTTCAGTTATAATTCATTTTATTTCAAGTTGTCATACCTTCTTAGCTAATCAAAGCTGAAAGTTGGTCAAGGTTTAAGCCTTGGACTTGAATCTATAGCTGTTTTGGCTTATAAAAGACCATGGTAATAAAAAGTAGCACTGAGAACATTATTAGGGTCCAGGAATAAAATACCTCATATTTTAACAACTAATCTAGGTTGGTATTCTCAGTTTCAGTATAGGAACTTAAGAAGACTCAAAGAAGTGACAAGAAGCTATCAGAGATATGGAACAGCAAACCTTTGGTCCGTTTACAAAACCTGCCAGGTATCAGAGACATTCCAGTCTCATGTATAATTGTATTTTCTTCCTTTCAAAAACAAATGAAAGAAGTCATATATGGTCCTGTTATCAGGACTAAGACCAGTGGAACTGAACAATAATAAGGAGTCTGCACACTTCCTCAGTCATGATTTTCCTTTCCAAGAGAATAGGGCAATAGTTCTTGAACCCCTAGAGGTGAAGCCAAATTTTTCCAAGTTCTAAACTTTCAAAGATTTGTTGATTGTAGTTCTTACTTGAACACCCGTACCTATTGATTCCTGTTAGTAAAGCAGCCTTTACAGTGCAATAAATAACAAAATATTAGCAGAACTGTAGAATGCACTAGAACCTTGTAGATCCTTGGAGGTAGAGGGAAGGCAGAACACATTCTGGTTTCTGTACACTATATGGTTTAGTTCTGTGATAAGGTAGTTTAAACGCTAGAATTCACTCAGGTGAAATTCTAACTACTACTTGCTATTTTGCCACTTGGAAATAATTAATATTCCAAATGCACATTCACATTACAGTCCATCACCAAACTGTCTGTTGTTTTCTGCTCATTGTTTCTGGAAACATATACAGGAACAACTTGGAAAGATTTTTAAAGAACAAATTCAAATTGTTTACAGGAAAGCTAAGGAGCAACATGCATGCTCACATTTAACAGTAATTCTATAAAGTGTGGCTGCTCCAAATAACAGGACTTGCAGGATGACAATGACAGCAAAACGAGTCTTACTGTAAAGTATAAACTACCAGAAACATTTTAAACGATTCAAGAAATCCTGCTTCTTCCCTCTTTTCTGATTTCTCTCCTAACCCAAAAAATCCATCAGAGAATTAATCCTGCTTTTCCTTCACTAGCCAAAGCCTGGTGGCTTCTGACAGAACAAAGAGAATGAAACCCCTCAAGAACATGTTCTGTAAAGTGTCTTCATATCCATTTCGGACAGGATGGGTTATAAAACTTAACTAAATAAATCAATCCAAACCCCTGTTTAAGTTTAATTAAAGAGCCAATGTCTTTAAGTTTCAAACATGAAAATAATTTTGGAAGACACTGAGTTGAAACCATATCAAAAAATCATATTACTAACTTTATCCATAATCACCTTGGTGTGTCTTTAAGGGAATACACATCTTAATTACCCTAGTATATGCTTTAGCAGTGGTCAAATGATTAAGTAGTCCTGGAATGTAATTGACAGCACACTACACGTATGATAGGAACACTAGAGAACTGCATCACTGAATAAAGACTAGAGACTGAAAAACTGGTACTGTACCCTGCATA